TATCATATTTATCTGGTTTGAACCTCTAAAACAAAATGCACCAGTGAAATTGTTGCCGAGGAAGGCTACGTTCATGGTTTCTTTTAGCAGTAACTTTAAGCATGAGCGACTTTATGACAATATTTAAGTTTGCAGTAACTTAAACGGCGTCATAGTTAGGGGAGTTAACTTATCTCACGGGTTCGCGCATCCACCAGGTAGGTAAATATGAACCAGATAGTAGTCTCCTACAAAAAAAAAAAGTTCAAAAATACAAAAGTGGTATGCCTAAACTGGAGTCTCGTAAAATATAGGCTCGTGGCTCGCAAACAGAGGCTCGGACTCGCAGACTTGCACTTTAGCTAACCTCGTATATTTTAGTATGTTTCAATAAAAAGCTCTATACTGAATTCTATGCTCACGATTAAAATACGAATAACTGTCCCACGTTAGTGATATCTAAAGCTATCCTGCTGCAAGTTAGTTAACCAACCAACCAACCAACTTACTTATTTATTTAGTAACTAGAAAGCCCACAGTCATTATTTTATTGCTAATCATAGGTAAGGAGATGCAATAACAGGTAATTAAGGTAAGGACAGGTAATCACAGGTATTCACAAATAATGACAGGTAATCACAGGCAATCACAGGTATGGACAGTAAATCATAGCTAACTACAGGTAARCACAGGTAACTGCAGGCAATCATGCGTAAGTATAGGTAAGCAGATATAACCATATATATATGTAAAGGTAGTCAGAGGCGATATACCACGGTTGTCGTATATACTTATTTCAATAAAGTCAGTCACCAAAATCCCAGAAAGCTGAGATCACTGAGGATCATGGGAAACAATTTATTTCAAACAAGTAAAGCTTCTTTCATAGAAACTTCAGTTGAGGATGCTCAGGAAAGGTGACACTATAACCTGGGATAAGATGAGCAAGTCCATCAACAGTTATCCAGCGGATGAAACATGTAGGATGTATCTACCCATAATCCTTGTCGGCTTCAGCTATATAGCTTTTCTTATGGCTTTTCAGACTAACTTTATTTCAATACGTATATATGGCCAACGAAATACACCTTCTTGCAAGAACATTGTCATACGATATTAGAAAGAACATTAGTAATTTAGTGACAGGGGAATACATTAAAAGACAAAATAGAAACTTCAGCTTCAGTGACCTTCTTTTGTTTTTTAATAGACCGTAAATCCTCTCTTAAGCCTCCCGGGGGGCTTATTTATTTCAGGCACGTTTGAGAGGGGGCTTATTGATTTTATCGAAACGCAGTAAGTTGCACGCTGTAAGGATGTAATATCATTGTAACTCAGGATTAAACGGAAGCATTACTATTGACCGTCTCGCATAATCTGTAGTGATGTACATAGTATTTTTATTATTTGATTCACCTGTGTTAGTCTCTCAAGTATAATTTACGGTGTGCGCACTCGAGGATGGACTAGTGGTTCCGGAGCGCTATACGCTGCAATATCAACTAACAAGAAGACTTTAAATTATTCTTCACAAAAAACTAGATCGCAGAGGAGAAAACCTTAAGCATATGAAGTTGGAGATCGTGCAACCGAAAATGAGGAACAAACTGTTGTGATTATGTTAGTGAACTACTGTATCAAGACTTTAATACCGTAAATCACCTTTWATCAGTACACGTGATTCTTTAGTTACGAAGGGGAAGGGGAGAGAGGGGGGCTTAACAAATTTATTCCTTTAAAAAGGATGATTAACGGTAATTCCTATCCCACCAAATCACTAATGTTCTATTGTTWTATTTTCGTATGACWACRTTCTTSCAAGTAGGTGTATTCACTTTTCCACTATATGGCATTTAGCTATGAAGCACACACCCAAGGAGGACTATTTTATTACCACATGCATTGAAACTATTCGTATTTTTTTTTCAGTTTCAATATGCTTTTACGATGTATTTAAATTATTACTTCGTGTTTTGCCTGCCTACAAATACACGAACGAGCTGACTAATGTACAGTGAAATCGCAATATCTTCATACTCCTAAATTTCTTGTAGTATTTGGGTAATGTGGCTTTCATTCTCTATTTCATATTCAATTAAGATATTCAATCAAGACGCAGTGCTTGCAGTAAGTAGAACATAAAATTCTGAATCAACATCTAGCAAGCAAACTCATCATTTTTTCACACTCATGTCCCATTCATTGCTAGTAAGCGTTAAGCATTTTTAACATACCTCTGAGTTGAGAGTAACAAATAGCCAACTTCTCTGTTAACATACCTATGATACATCCACAAACAAAATATCTGATTTCAATATATCGAAGGGATATCGAACAGAACAGCAGAGAACAAACTACAATGTGATGTTGTTTTTCGCCAGGATACTTCAACTCTTTCCACTGCAAGGAGTTGGGGGCTTTCCTGCGGTTACAAGCACATCAAACTGTTACTTAAGCAACCGCAAAGCATCCTTTCTATGGCCAAAACAAACATCCAAACAAAGCCTAATGCAGGCAAAACACAGCAAACCCAAAAGGAAGACAACAAACCCCGCAAAGGATCACGGGAATCCAACATGGCCATCGGCATGGACTCCCCCTCCAAACAAAACACATACAAGTCTTTGACCAACTCCCAATTCRCTCGCCGCCTTCCCTACCCCTATTCCGTGGCCCACTCAACTTTCATTGCTGTTGGTCAAACACTCATTCATCATCGAGGATCCCTACTTCACAGGTAACACAAACCGCTCTTTCCTAATAACCTCCTATTTTGGACGATCTTTTCCCAATCATTTCTTTCAAAATACCTTCCCCGTGTTACCTGCAGTAGGCGTTCACACATTTCTTCGTGTCAACGCGGTTTTAAACCATCATTAGGCTTCATGATGCCTTCAGGTTCCTCAATGTGAACCTTCCCTTCCCTTGTCTTGGCGGCCGAGACAGCCTCGTTTCCCTTTTCMTCATTAAATGCAAATCACATGCATCCATCTTCCATACATATCATTATTCACTTCTTCCTTATCTCCCTTTAGTATAGTACTTTCTTTTCAACTCACCCACCTCCTTCGCAGCCAGCCAGCCAGCCAGCCACCAACTATCTTTCAAGGTAAATCATTCTTACTTTCAATACCACTCTTATGATAAACATCTTTCAACCTTCCATTAACAAACACTTTCATCTGTACAGCAATGTTATATTTCCATGGCCTATTCACGCCATATCCCAAAGTGCACAAAATATACTATTCTACTATTTTCCTTACATTTTCTATATTTCTTTGATCATGGCTTCATTATCTTTATTTCTTATGCTAAACTAAACACCATGTTTTCTCTCTCTTTTTCATTATCTCGTGGCAAAATATGTTCATGTACTCCATCTCCCTTTACTCTACTTTTATTTCAACATGCCATAACTATTTTTTACATTGATTATTTGCATTCTTGTTATTTTTTGTTCTGTATTTATTCAATATATTTCTTAGGTATTTTTCTTTTTTGCTTGTCTTACTACTTTAATATCAAAATGATCATACCATACTAGCACATACACAGATATATTTCACAATTAACTCTCTTAGATAACCTTCTTGTCATTCATTTTTTCTAAATTAGCAAAGCCATTTTGCTTYGACTGTTGGGGTTTGTACCCYTCCCYYCCCMWYCYYCYYMWTTWWKAMMAWWA